GGGCAGTGGAGGCGAGTGCGGTGAGTGTAGGTTGGTGCTCCAGGCACTGGTTCGCCAGTCTCTGTGCGATGGATTAGCGGGTGACCGACCAGGCTGATGTGTGAGGTGAAGGTGTACTGACAGTGACAGTTTGGACCGAGTCCACATCGTTGTTGTTGACTGTGGTCAGGTCGCGGTTTGACGGTACTTCATATGTGGTGGGGGCAGGAGCCGTCGCAGCAGTTATTGAAGCGGGGATGGTGGTAGAGGATGGCGACGGGAGTCGGAAGCACCGTAGGGCTGTTTGTCGACACGGGGACGGAGCACAGGTGGACGGGAAGGCATCAGCTGGTGTCCTTCGGGTGCTACAGTTGGTCCGGACACGTTTACTGAGATCGATTCGTGCGCGGAATGTTGGCTGACACCTGGGGCATTTTGGGGGCGGTTGAGTACTGGCGTTGCGTGGCGGGGGCAGTTGGAATTTTCGAGCTTGGCTTTGACGGCTGTTACACGGTTGGTTTAGTAGATCTATGCTCCTCTTTTCACTGCCCTCTTTCAGGCCGGTCGGTTCCAGGAGATGTTGTCCCAGTTGGTCGGATTGATCGGCAGGGCGTCAAGGAAGTCTTCAGAGTGTCCTCGTAACGTCGGATTTGAGCTCATTATTGACGAGAAGCCCTGGCGACATCTTCGTAGAAGAGCCGTTTGGGTAGCCGCTTCCCCTTTATCCTCACGTGGTGGTCGCCCACGCGTAGTAACAGTTGTCTCGCATGGCGTAGATACTGAGGATTCCCGATCGTTCAAGTGCGTCCGTGTCCGAGATCTGGTCGTGGCACCTCGGCTTTGGTATCCACCGAAGACAGCTGAGGTTGAATTGGTTGAGCTTACGTGCCTGCTTCTCATATGCCGCCCAGATCGTCATTCCGTATAGCAGCGTTGTCCTGACGACGGTTTTGTACATTTTGAGCTTTGTGATGAGATGAAGTCCGTGGCGATTCCAGATGATGTTATGCAGGCGACCGAGGGCTTGGCTAACTTTGGAGATCTGGAAGTCCACTTCGTCGTCGATTTTGGTGTTGCGAGAGAGAGAGTGCTGCTCAGGTAGGTTAAGGTACCCACGACTAGCATCTGGGCGCTGTTGAAATTGATGTGAGGTACACTGTAGGCAGCGTTGGGTGACGGCCGGTATATGAGTACCGTTTTCTCCGTGTTGTTGATCAGGTCAGAGTTGTCGCAGGCGACAACGAAGATGACCACGCCTCATCGAATGTCCCCTCCTGTAGGTGCGCTGAGAGCCCAATCGTCGGCGAAGAGAAGTTCGTGGACAGTACATGTGGCTGTATGCGACTGGAAATGCATTCGCCGAAGACTAAAGATCTGGCCGTCCGTCCTGTAGGTGACACGGACCCCGGAACATTCATCACAGAGGACGTCCATTAAAATGGGAGGTACCATGTGACTTAAGAGGGTAGATGCGAAGAAGCAGCCTTGCGTCACTCCGTTGGTCACTGCGAACGTCTCTGGGAGTTGCGAAGATTGTATGGGCGACTATTAGGGGTGAGTGCTGAAATCCGAGGAAAATTTGAACTATGATTAATGCGAAAGAGGAGACAGAAGCCCGCCTCCCTGACAATGCTTATAAACTGGCATTAAATAAAATTATTATTATTATTATTATTATTATTATTAAGTAGGGCCTAGCTTTGTGAAATCACACGTGAGAGTTGGGTGCGAGTTAATGGACGCTAGACGTAGTCAACGTTTGCAAGCAAGTGTGCTGCCTGCTATGACCACCACGTAAACTTAAAATTGGGCACCCTTACACCCTTACGTCCTTACACCCCTACCATTCTATACTCCAGTTACAATCACACGGATGACGCCCGACGTGCCGCACGGAGAGTCCAAATCATCCGTTGGTACCGGTTGATGAATCACCACACATTAGATTGCATTTCTGTATGATTTGTCGCAGGGTGAGAGGAGGGGCTTTGAGTCACGTTAGCGCCTATAAACAGGCTTTATGCACTAGTCACTAATCAAAAATGATGTACGATAGCCGTCATGATTTTGTGGTTGAACTCCGGGCGAATGTGTTTGGACCCCAGTACCCATTACTTTGGGACACCCAATTTATCTGAAGCTTCCGGTAACAACACACCAAAAACACTTACTTAGACATTCTAAAATGCCCCAGTGCCAATGCATTGTTCCTATTGTCAAGTTTTCACGCATTACTGGGGACCGTGCGGCCGCAAATCAGTCTTTCGCGTACATAAATCAGCAGGTGACACACCACCAGGCCATACGTGGTGTTTCGGTACCGGAACCTCACAAGAAGCCTGTGTACACTGGCGCCAGAGGTCAAGCAGTGGAACATGACAACCAAATAATTTCGAGACCTTAAATGTGAGACCTTGGACAGTAAAAGTGAGGAACTGGTGTATGTACGGTGATTGTCCTAATAAATTTTCCAGCCGTCAATGTCTGCTTATGTTCACTGTAAAAATTCGCGACACATTACTACAGGACATAAAAGAGCATTTCGTCTTTTGACTCGTTCCATTAAATAGACACATCAAACCTTTCAAATTCTCTAGACGTCATTTTCGGACATTGAAAATCACGAAACAGTGTTTGTCAGAGCACAAGAGGACGTGGAATAATTACACAGAACTCGGTTGCCATCATAAAAACCCAAACATCCATTCGTTTAAATGTCGAGAAATGACAATTTTCCATTGGTGTAATTTACCCATCCAAACTTCCTTAAACAGTACTAGTACGTAGCTGACTGATATGAATGACTGCGTTGACGAAGCGCAGTCCATACAGTTACCCGACATTCTCGGGATGCGTGCGTCTAGGTCTAGGACAGGCATGGCTCTGTTAACCATTACAAGCCCACACAAACAAGGAAAACCACTGGTTTTCATACACATTTTGTACTTCATACAAGAGATAGCATTTTCTCCAAGTGGGCTGTTTGTTATCGTTGGGGTATTGGATAATATAGCAGGTCATTCCATGTTCATTCAATAGAAATTCGCGCATACGTTGTTACTGTTCCTATCAGTGGTACTATTATTGTCTCCCACTACTACTACTACTACTACTACTACTACTACTACTACTACTACTACTACTACTACTACTACTACTACTACTACTACTACTACTACTACTACTACTACTACTACTACTACTACTGACAGTTCGACCATCGGTTTCGATGATGTACACCGTGTGCCCCACTGTTGCAGCAGCAATGGGAGCAGGGACGGTGACTTACGCAGGGGTTTATACTGCCGGTAGACTTGCGCTGCATCTACCTACACTCTCTCCTCCTCCCTCGCCGAGCCCGGTGTCAAGACAGAGTCAAGAAGACCGGAGACGAGAAAGGCCGCAGGTGGATGGCTCGGACGGATCTTCACCTTGGCGTTCCACCACACCCCCTGGCCCACACAACAAATAACCAGGATTTCAACCAACACAACAGAGATTTGGAGGCTGGTACGGCCGAAGCCGCACCTGGGCGCGCCGCCAACGCCTGGCTCGGATCCCACACTGTGATGGGAGTGCCATAAAGGCCACATTAAAAAGGATCCATTGCAGCCTGACTCTCAGACCGCCTCCAGTGAAGGAGGAGGTCCAAGTTATCCCGTCAGTTGGCAACCTTCCAAGCCACGGCTTTTAGCGCACCGTGATAGCTTCAAGCGCGTCAGATTGTTTATAGTGAGGAGGAAGTGCGCTGAGTCGTCGACCTCACTCTCCCTTCCCACTCCCACACCCCAGCCGCTGTCCGAGCCGGTCAGTAGACTGGAGTGGGGAATGGGCGCGGTGGCTGTCATGGTCGACTGACCATGACTGCGCGCGCCACGGCACGACCTGGCCCCCCATACACACAACACCAGGATTTCACACAACGGGGGTTGAACGGCGTGTCTCTCACTTGCATGAGAGGGCCGTGAAAGGTGCTGTTTCAGCTCGTCCCCAGCCCACCAGTCCGCCACTCCACACAACACACACACACACACACACACAACGCGACAAACTGCGTGAGCCGACAGCGGGCGTCAATCAGCAACCTTCCTATCCACGACGCTTGACGTGTCGGGATAGTCTCGGACTCAAGTCGCCCGTGCAGCCGAAGCCGCATGAGAACCGAGTCGAGATGCGGACTTCCCACTTGCGTGGGAGGTGGCAGTTGGGTGCATGAGGTGTGTGAATGTTGATTTCTGGTGGGGTGATAGTGGTGGTGGAGGAGGTAGGGAGTGAGTGAATGTGTGGTGTGGCCGGCGGTTGTCTACCGCAGGTCGTCGTGGACGCGCATGTGGCCGAATAGGCCCATGCGATGCCTGAAAGTGCGAGGGCTGTGTGGGCAGTTGAGACGAGCTTGGTGGGTATAGGTGGGTGCTCCAGGCACTGGTTCGCCAGGCTCTGTGCGATGGATTCGCAAGTGACCGACCAGGCCGATGCGTGAGGTGAATGTGCGTGGACAGTGTGGGCATGAGAAGTCGGCGTTGTCAGTGTCAGCTACAGAGGAGGCGGTGGTGGTGGTGGTGGTGGTGGCGCGGACGGATGGAACGAGGGTGGGGGTGTGCACGGTGGATGTGTTGGATGTGGTGGGCGTGTCGGGAGTGCGGCCAAGGCCACTATCGTGGATGCGCATGTGGCCGAATAGGCCCATGCGATGTCTGAAGGTGCGAGGGCAGTGTGGGCAGTGGAGGCGAGTGCGGTGGGTGTAGGTTGGTGCTTCACGCACTGGTTCGCCAGTCTCTGTGCGATGGATTCGCAAGTGACCGACCAGGCCGATGTGTAAGGTGAAGGTACGGTCGCAGTGAGGGCAGGTGTAGTCCTGATCCTCATCCCTGGAGTCAGGGGAGGTGGTGGTAGTGTCGGTTGCTGTGCGTGGGACAGTCGCCTGAGCGGCCGCCGTTGGAGCAGTGGGCGAGGAGGAGGAGGAGGTGGAGGAGGAGGATGATGGAAGTGGTGGGTCAGAAGAATTGTCAGGGTTAGTTGGCGGCGGAGAGGAGGAGGAAGAGGCAGGCGGGGGGACGATGGTTGGTGCAGTTTGAGAGGCGCAGTTAATCCGAAGATGTCCAACAAGTCCGATTCGAGCCCGGAATGTTCGCTGACATCGAGGACACGTTGGAAGCGGTTGTGCGACGTTGCTGACTGGGCGAAGTTGTGATTTGCGGGCTTCACGTTTCGCTTTGGCGGCAGCAATGCGGTTGGCTTCGTAGATCGCAGCGCCTGTCTTCACTGTCCTCCTCCAGGTCGGTCGATCGAGTGCGAGCTCCTCCCAGTTGGTGGGGTTGATTTGCAGGCGTTTCAGGGAGGACTTCAGGGTATCCTTGTAACGGCGAATCTGGCCTCCTTGGCGACGAGAACCCGTCGCGACGTCTCCGTAGAAGAGTCGTTTGGGTAGTCGCTCGTCGTCCATGCGCACCAGGTGGCCGCTCCAGCGCAGCTGAATTTGCCTCAGTATGGCGTAGATGCTGAGGATTCCAGTCCGTTCCAGCACATCAGTGTCGGGGATTCGTTCCTGCCAGTTCAGCCTCAGGATGCGACGAAGACAACTGAGGTGGAAGTGGTTCAGACGACGTGCCTGCTTTGCTTACACCTTCCTAGTCTCCGCTCCATACAGTAGTGTCGGAAGGATGACGGCCTTGTACATCTTCAGCTTCGTGCTCAGCTGAAGACCGTGACGATTCCAAACTGTGCTTTGGCGGCGACCGAAGGCTTGACTGGCTTTCGAGATCCTGTTGGCGACTTCGTCGTCGATCTTGGTGTTGCGGGAGAGAGTGCTGCCCAGGTACGGGAAGTTCTCCACCACCTTCAGTTGGGTTCCGTTCACGCTGATTTTCGGCGGCGCGTTGGAGGCTGTGGCTGAGTTGGGTGGCGGTTGGTGCATCACCACCGTCTTCTGCGTGTTAATGACCAGACCGAAGTTCTCGCAGACGGCGGAGAACAGTTCCATGCTCCGTTGCATCTCCTCTTCCGAGGTGGTGTTTAGGGCGCAGTCGTCGGCAAAGAGGAGTTCATGAACGGTGGTTGTGGATACGCGCGATTGGAAGTGCATCCGCCGTTGATTCAGGAGATGACCGTCCGTTCTGTAGGCCATGCGGATCCCGGGGCGTTCGTCGCGGTAGGCGTTCATCAGCATGGCAGAGAACATAAGACTGAAAGGGTAGGCGCCAGTACGCAGCCCTGCTTCACTCCATTGATCACTGCGAATGCCTCTGAGACAGCTCCGTTGTCCATGACTCGCGCCATCATACCGTCGTGCAGCTGACGCACTATCTGAGTGAATCGCTCCGGACAGCCGAATTTCTGCATGATCTTCCACAGTGCTTCACGATTCACCGTGTCGAAGGCTTTCGTCAGGTCCACGAAGGTAGAGTACAGGTGGGTCCGCATCTCCTAACACTTCTCCTGAAGTTGACGGGCGGCGAAGATCGTATCCGTGGTCCCACGATGACGACGGAATCCGCATTAGTTTTCCGGCAGAAGGCCCTGTTCGAGATGGTTATTGAGGCGGTTGAGAAGGATTCGTGCGAAGATCTTCCCGGCGATGTTCAGCAGGGAGATGCCGCGGTGATTGTCGAAGACTTGGCGATTCCCTTTTCGCTTGTAGAGATGCACGATGGTTGCGTCTTTGAAATCTTGGGGGACGTCACCTTGACGCCACATCTCCTGGAAGAACGCAGTCAGGTGATCCATGAGTTGGGGACCTCCGTGCTTGTAGACCTCAACAGGGATTGCTTTCCCGCTGGAGAGCTGCTGCACGGCCCCGATGGTCTCCTGGAGAGATGGCGGAAGGTCGAGGTCAACGTTGGTCTCCACTTGCGGCAAGCGCTCGATGGCGGCGTCGGAGACGACGGAGGGGCGGTTGAGGACGCCTCGGAAATGCTCGGCCCATCGCTGTAGAATTTGCGTCTTCTCAGTCAGGAGAGTGTTGCCGTTGGAGCTGAGGAGAGGAGCAGTGCCCTTCGTCGGCGGGCCGTAGACAGCTTTGATCGCGGAGAAGAAGTTCTTCCATTCGTTGCGGTCCGCATACCCTTGGATCTCCTCAGCTTTGCGAGCAGTCCAGGCGTCCCGCATCTCGCGCAGTCGTTGCTGAAGTTGGCGGCGACTAAGGTAGAAGGCAGCTTTGCTGGCATCAGTGGGGTGATCTACGTAGGCTTTGTGTAGGCGGTTCTTCTCAGCTAGCAGATTTCTGATGGCGGCGTCGTTGTCGTCGAACCAGTCCTGGTGTTGGCGGGGAGCGCGACCGAGGACGGCGAGCGCCGTCGACTGGACCGTGACACCAGCGGTTCTCCACGGAGGCGTTCTCGGCAGCGGCGGCGGCGTCGACGACAGCGATAGGAAGGTTGTCTAGCCGTTGAGCTAGCTCATTGTTTAAATGAAGGTGGTGAACGGGCAAAGACAACAAAGCAACATTCAGCTTACCGGGGGGTCGCTTACCTTGTGGTCTCCTGCGAGGCTGTAGGCGAATACGCATCATCGAGATGACGAGGCGATGGTCGGTCCACCCGTCAGCACCCGCGATCGCCTTCGTCACAAGCACGTCCCGCTGATCTCGCCTCCGGACGAGGACATAGTCGAGCCGGTGCCACTGGCGCAACTGAGGATGCCTCCAGGTGGCTTTCTCTCGCTCCGGCAGACAGAAGAAGGTGTTCGTCCGGATTAGGCGGTGTTCTGCGCAGGTGCGGAGGAGAAGCAGACCATTGTCGTTTGAGCCGCGGAGAACGTTGGGACCCAGCACTCCTCTCCAGGCAGTATGGTCTGTGCCGACGCGGGCGTTGAAGTCACCAAGGACAATCAACTTGTCCGCCTTCGACACAGTCGCCAAGAGGGCGTGCAGGTCCTCGTAGAATTTGACTCTTACGGCGTCGTGGTTGGTCATCGTCGGAGCGTAGGCGCTGACGATGGTGGCGAATTTGCCTTCCCTGAGAGGCAGACGGAGGCTCATCAGGCGATCGTTGATTCCCTGCGGCAGACAGGGCAGTCGTCCCACGATGTCGTTCCGGATGGCGAAGGCGACACCCGCGTCCCGTCGCTCTGCCCTGGGTCGACCGCCCCAGAAGAAGGTGTAGCCGGCACCCACCTCCTCCAGTTGGCCTTGTTCGGAGAATCGGATCTCGCTGAGTGCGGCGATGTCCACCTTGTAGCGTGCCAGTTCTCGTGCCACTAGCGCCGTCCTCCGTTCCGGTCGGTTGTTCCGCGGATTGTCTAAAAGGGAACGAACATTCCAGGCTGTCAGAGTGACCGGGCTCACCCTGCCAGTCTGGTGACAACGAGTGGGGCGTCGGGAAGGAGATGGAGAAGAAGGTGACGAAGGAGAAGAATAGGCAGAGGAAGAGGAAGAAGAGGTAGGATGAGGAGAATGAGTATCGTTGTTGTTGTTGTTATTGGTATCGTTGTTGTTTCGATTTTGATTGTTTCGACCATGATAAGACGTCTGCGGCCCTGGCTGGCCTGGAGACGGCGTGGTACCCAGCAATGTTTAGGCCACCTTTTCTAGGCCCTTCCCCTCGTGGGGGCCGGCAGTGCCATCCCTGAATAGGGCTGCCATGTGCCGTTGTGGCACGGCCGAACTCCACTATGGGACCACGACTTCGGGTTGTAGTGGAGAGCGACTCGAATTCGCCGTAAGCCGCGGTCTCCGAGGGCGTAGGTGGGCGCGTCCAGGCGATGTCGATGTGAAGATCCATCCCGTCACCGGCTGTCCAGCGGCGTGCAGAGACGAACCACGTCACAACGGTGCCGACGCAAGGTTCCATCCGACCTTCCATCCAGCGGAATCAGCAAACCCTGTGCACACGGCACAGCGCACAGGGCCCCCTCACCTGGTTTAGCCCGCCGGTCGAGACGGTTGCCCGGGGTGTGGCCGCTGAGCAGAGCCCAGCTACTTGGAGCCACAGGTGAGAGTTGAGTGCCAGCAAGTGGACGCTAGGCGCAGTCTCACCTGCAAGCAAGTGAGCGACCACCATGACCACTACGTGAACCCACCGCTGACACCCCTACACCCCTACACCATACTACTACTACTACTACTACTACTACTACTACTACTACTACTACTACTACTACTACTACTACCACAGCAGCAACAAAAACCACCACCGCCATTACACTAAAGATAAAATGTAAAGTCATTATAGCTACCGGTCTTTACAGTGTATTTTTACTTGGAATGGTATCCGAAGTAGGCACAGCAGATAGTGTGAAAACCGTTACAACTTTACAAGTAAATTGTCGGGGTAGCTTCTAAGTGATGAGTGATACGAAGGTTGTCACAGTAATAATGATCAAATAATGTTTTGAGGGAGAAGGGGAAAAGCATCAGCGCGATAAGCGTTTTTCGTACAGAAGATTGGTGATGGCCAGATCCCTAACTACAGGGCGGCTCTGAGCGTTGGCACGCCCGTCTGCTAGGGTAATGTGTGCGGGAATGAGTAAATGTCACGTGGGAGTCGGTCAGTGTCAGCTTGGCGAGCTGATTGAGTGATTGCGGAATTTGTCGGCGCGTGTGATTAGTTGTCCTAAAGATTACATGTGCGTATGTTTCGGCCACTCTGGAGCCATGCTTGTTAGATTACACTTTAGTGTGAGTGACAAAGGCGGAAGGATTGAGGTGCTTAAAAAGGCGCTCATGCGAGGTCTGTCATATGAACTATTGTCGGGGAAGGTTTGATTAGTACAGAAAGACATTGGACTTTCTGTTCATCGTACCGGTGCAAGCTGCGACATATCTATTAAAAACGTCAAATGTACACACTAATATCGGCAAAGATGTCCTGCCGTTCGTGTTGTTTGCATATGGCAGCCGAGGTGGTATCGTAAGTCGTACGCGACTCAATTAACAGAGGCGGTCTGTCCAGTAAACATTCCCTCCTAAGCATGTTTCGTAGTCGTCAGCTGGAAATTTCATTTTTCTGGCTAGACTTGTATACTTGTTCAGGTCCTGGTAGAAGCTCAACAAAATACTTAACAGTTTTTGGTTGCGGCCGATTAGTTCGTTTTATCAGTTCAGTATACTTGCTCGTCTTCAACGAGACCTTAAAACGTCAAGTTCCTATTCTGCGCTCTGGAATATTCTAATAGACCAAAGCTCACGAACTCCGTTATTCGACTAAGCATTTTCATTGCAACCCGGGGCTCTTGAATAGATGGCATAGTTTCCTGAACCTTCGCCCTCCTTGAAGATCGACTTTATGTATGTGCTTTTGCATGTTAGTCTGTCAAAGTCATTATGGGTGGACCCAAACGGCCGTCTCACCGAGGAACGGCTCAGCCTCAGCAGAAGTGAGTCGGTTTCTTATTTTTTGTTTCTGAAATATTATCGTTTTATGGCACATATTCGGTGTTATACTTTACTGTGAAAATGAGAGATAGGCTCCATCTGCATAATAGTCGTTTTTCTACTGAAACGCCTTTCCTGTTATTCTGGGAGACTGCTATTTATTCCTGCGAAATTTACGCACAATGCTTGTTCCTGTTACTACCTCGTTAGACTGGTTTTGACTTCCTGGCAACCTTTAAAAGTGCTCGATTTCACATCAACTAGTAAAGGTATTTGCCCTACACTAGTAGCAAACTATATCGAGTAGATATCAGTTAGATATCTATTTTTCGAGATACTTATATCTATTAGATATCGATTTTGTCCGCGATCCAGATATCGATTAGATATCTATTTTTCGAGATACTCCGAAATCGGCAATAGGGACACGTCAGGCCATGCGCAAGCTGCCGTTACTTGTTCTTATACCCATACCTTATTTTATTATCGTCTGTTCTCCTTAGTCATCCCAAACCCGGCTTACTAGGCCTGCTGTTGTTCACTTTATAACGCGTTGAACGGGCGAATTCACGTGGCTATTGCAACCGAAGTAACTAGATCGACCAAAAAGAACTATTTTGAAGACGTGTTAGAAGGGAAAAAAGTTTATTGGATTAAAAAATAATTTAAAAAGGTTTATTACATAGGAGCATCTTGCGTGGACGATGGTCCATCACTCGTTGAACATCCTGCTTGAACATTCGCTTGACGAAGTCATCTACATTGTGCCCACCAAGGCATGTGAGGTAGGAGGTCTAACTCAAGAGGGAGTTACAAATAGGGTAGCATACCAATTGGTTCCGGAAGCTATTGTCCAGTAGTTGGTTTCGAAAGTTATCGGTGTTCTCCTGTGGCTCCTGACAAGGTGTAACGGCGTTATTTTCCATCACTTACTGGAAAGTCGTTCATGAACGTCGCTGTCTCAACGGCAGTTTACGATAGTAAATTACAGATTTCGAGATACTAAGTCCCAGGTATCGGAAAGTTCTCTTCCTGTCAAAAAACCCAGCAGTGCGTAGGCAGAACCGTACACTAATGTCCCATGGAGACGCAGACACGAACAAACATTGACCTTAAATAAATCACAGGAACAACTGTAGCACAGCAACAGCGAAAATAAATAAATAATAATGTACAAGAAAATAAAGCGTTCACAAAAATGATGGAGGTAAGATTCTTCTACCTTGCTTATGGGAAGCGCGCTGACTGAGCGTTGGAACGGCGGTAGGAAATGGGAGAATATTATTTTAGACTAGCCGGACCCCGCCACGCGTTGCTGTGGCTCAATCTGATGAGTTAGGAAATAAGGGAAAGAGGAAAGAGCACGTTCCCAATTAAGAAAAATGTAAGGGCAACCGGTTGGCGGTACGTATTGTGTGCAAAACCCAGGATTGTCCGCTGTCGAAGGCAGGGCAATTGTTTGCTGCACCCAGTCGCGCTCGAGAATTCCGGAGTAAGTGGTGACGGCGGGCATTTATTTCGTCCACCGGTGTCGATCGAGGCAGTGGTGGCCTGAAGTCTCCTGCAAGCAGTTGCAGTGCATTAGAAATGGTCTGCTGTTTCCTCGCAAATCCTTCAGTGTTCGATCAGGGGCCTCGAGCGCTTTTTTGCGCCATTGTGCATTCATCCTAAGAAGGAACCGGTTGGTAATATGCTACTGCCGAAGCGAATGTTCGGAAGCACGACCGAGACACCACAACCCCTGATATCGCACACGAAGAGCCCTAGGAAAACGTAGAAAATTGCCAAAAGGTATGCTCAGAAAGCGTTCTCAGGGGCCAAGCAAGTTCTGCTTAGCCGATTATGAAGTGGCCACCATCCGAATCTTCCCGAATACCACAATGAAGTCGACGGTTTACTGGAAATGAGTCATTAGAGCAGAGTCTTCTTAGCGTGTGGTTACGAGTACCCCCCCTCACATTAGAGGAGTCTACCTGGCATGGGCCTATGTGTATCATTTCTTGTATCCTGACGCGTGCGTGCTCTGCGGGATTTCCCTAAGAACAACTGTCTGAAAATGACACCAAGACCTCAATTATTGCGTCAACCCACTCGATGTATTGCATTTGGTTATGGCTTCGACTGATCTCTGTCTACATAACATACGGCTCTGTTGGCCGCTAAGTTATCACCACCGAACGCAAGTCATCCGCCGTCCACAAAACTCTAACAACGTACAAACCACACCCATTCGTTCACCTCTGCAGTGTTTGTGACTTCTACGTGAGGTACATAGAAGGAAATGTTCGATGCAGCAACAGCGGAACATCGGTCCTCGCGCTTATCCCCCGTTCATCACTTACATCGATACTTAATCAACCTTAACCCAAATTATAGACTTGCCCTATCTCACTGACGCCCTCCTACGCTACCGCGTTCACGTAGATGACTTCCTTATAAGCAAAAGCAGTAGTGCTTGGCTGAACACAAGTTTCTTGGGATCAGACTACATTGAAGTCTTCTGAGTGTGGCCGTTATTACCCACACTATATTCAGTTGTCATGATTGTCTGAGCATAGGAATAGACAGTGAGATCGACACTAAGTATCCTTAAATATGAACGAATACACTCGCAATCCACCGCTGTTCCCACAGACTAACGGGTCTAATCGGATGAGTCACATGAACGACTGTGGGCATGCTCGTTCAAATAGACTCTTCCAAAGGAATTGAGGTATGAGCTGTTTATTTTGCTAGCGAATCTAAAAGTACTGCCACATCTGATCGCGCCTCAGTTATTTTAATGGTTGATTGGCAATGTCGGTTGCTTTCGCAACTCTTTCGTTGTACAATTAATCAAGCATATATAAGCGGTTCTGCTGAGAAGGAGTTTTCCGACCTTACTATGAAGAGCAGTTCACTGTGCGGTCAGTAGGTTATTGATGGTCAATCTTGAATTCTGGCGATCGCTATTTCCTGTTGCATTTGCTTCGGAAAAATTAGCCTGGGTGACCGCTTTGTCCATCTAATTGTTTTGGCGCTGTTTTCTCGTGTCACAAGTTACGCTTTTTGACAAGCGGCTACTATATAGTTTTCACTTATTCTTGCTACGATGATGACAACGCCTGATCCAGCTGACGCAGATGATGTCACAGATAGCATCTCTGTACACTGGAAGATCAGCAACAGCGAATCTGGAGAGCTTAAGACATTTTACTCCGCAGCCCCGAGGACTGAATATCGAGGGCCCGTAAATCGGTCTTTATCTTGACGGGCTTTGTGGTGCCGAATTTCGAGCCGACCTCCTTGCCATCTCTAGTTAGGCGACGAGGAAGAAGGCACCTAACCAACCTTACTCACCTTTATTTGACGACCTGAACCGTCTTAATGCTTTTTTAGTGAGTGCAGACTGCTTCACTCAAGACAGATTCGGTATAATTCACTCATAGGATCGTTCTTAGACAGCGGTGGTTGAGGACCTCCAGTTTTCGCCTGTTTTCCACACGCATA